CTAATGCTCCTGCTGTAGCTGCTGCAGCTGCTCTTGCCTTTGCTGCAGCTGCGTTTCCTGCAGTTGTTGCCGTCGATGCTGCTGCAGTGGCTGCTGCTGCGCTTGCTGCTGCTGCTGCTGCTGTTGCTGTTGCCCACGTTTCCGCAGGCGCTGCTGCTGTTGCTGCTGCTGCTGCTGCAGCTGTTGATGTTGCCCACGTTGCCGCGGGTGCTGCAGCTGCAGCTGCCGCAGCTGCAGCTGCAGCTGCTGCTGCTGCGGCAGCTGCTGCTGCTGCGGCAGCTGCTGCTGCTGCTTCTGCTGCAGCTGCTGGAGGTTTGTGTTATCTCCAAGTTCAGAGAAGTACTGTGCGAAGCAAGAAGGAGATAAGGGTTTAGGGTTTAGGGTTTAGGGTTTGGGGTTTAGAAGGAGGCTCTCAGCGTTGTTGTCCTTGTAAAGCCACATATGTCAGCATTATGCAAATAAACAAAGGAACATCTGCTGGCCAAACCCCAAACCCCAAACCCTAAACCCTAAATTCTAAACCGTAAATTCTAAACCCTAAACCCTTGCAAACGAGGGCAACAGCATCAAGAACAAAAACGAAAGACCCTTATTTATGCTTTTAATAGTACTTTAAATCTATTTAATTAATTCAAACTTTATTTTCGGGAAATGGGTACAAACCCTAAACCGTGGGGGCCCCCTTTGGGGGCCCCCAAGATGGGGGCCCCCGATCTAGGGGCCCCCATGAGTAATAAATAATTTATATTTTATATATTCTTTTTTATGTACTTAAAAATAAAATAAAGTATATTATTATTCCAATTTGCGTGCACTAAATATAGAACACGGGCCATTGGCGGGGATTTGAGCCAAACCCTAAACCCTAAACCCTAAACCCTAAATCCTCGAGCGGAGCCTAGTTTCGAGTGTAGAGGCCCCAACTGCAACAGCCCCGAAAAATCTATTTTTTGAATAAATAAAAATACATAATTAAAAATAAGTAAATAGATAAATAAATAAATAAATAAATGACTAAATAAATAAATTCATAAAAGTATACTTTTAGGGTTTACCTAAATGTCTTATTTCCATAAAACCCTACTTGTCCCTCTATTTCTACTGTCTCCTTGTTTTAATTGTTCCCTTATTTTAATTGTCTCCTTTTATTCTATTTCGTTGTTTCATTTGTCTCCTTTCCATTGTCTCTTCACGTTGTTTCCCTAAACCCTAAACCCTAAACCCTGAACCCTAAACCCTAAAATATCAGCCGATAGCCTCTTGAGCCCTCAGCCCCTACAGCGCTTTGGTTCTAAACCCTGAACACTAAACACTAAACCCTAAACCCTAAACGCTACAACCTAAACCCTCATTTTAATGCGCAGTTCGCAGTAGGTTTGGAGTTCGTTTGAACAAAGGAAAGATCGGGATCTCAAACCCTACACCCTAAACCCTAAACCCTAAACCTTTGATCTCGGCCAGAAGCGCCTTCTAAGGCCTTCTGAGGGTTCGTCAGGGCGGCGAGGGTTTGGAGTTTCTGTGGGGCTCAGCTCCTCTCGAGGGTTTAGGGTTTAGGGTTTAGCGTGTTTAGATGAGATCTGCCACATTCATTGGCATTTCATCAATTTGCGTAGCATAGTACTGCTCAATATCTCTTAAGATGCGGATGTCGTCATTCTGCACAAAGCGCAAACCCTAAACCCTAAACCCTAAACCCTAGACCCCAAACCCCAGCCCCAAAGAGCAACCCCCGTGAAAGCAGCAGCCGCAGCAGCTGCAGCAGCGCGCTGGCGACACTCGCCAGCTCAACACGCCGCTGCTAGGGTTTAGGGTCTAGAAATTAGAGTTTAGGGTTTAGATATTAGGGTTTAGGGTTTAGGTACCTTAACAAAGTTAATGGCAACACCCTTTCTTCCGTATCGTCCCGAACGGCCAATGCGGTGTATGTACAGCTCACGACTGTTCGGGAGATCGTAATTTATAACCAGCGACACCTAAACCACAAACCCTAAACCCTAAACCCTAAACCCTAAACCCTAACCCTGAAACACCTCCTCTGCACTGTTTAGAGGAACAAACCCTCGCACTGCGGCTGCCCCCAGCTCCCTGCAGCTGCTGCTGCTGCAGTTGGGAAGCGAAGCACTTAGGGTTAGGGTTTAGGGTTTACCTGCTGGACGTCGAGCCCTCTGCCCCAAACGTCCGTGGCAATCAAAACCCTACTTTGGCCTTCTCTGAATTCTTTCATAATTTCGTCTCTTTCTTTTTGAGGCATGTCTCCGTGAATGCGGCTAACCTGAAAATAAAAAATTATATTAATTAAATTAATTGAATTAAATTAAATATTAAAGTGATTGAAGGAGAATGAAATAACTGAAACCCAGGAATTGCAATGATTAGAAGGAGTGTGGAGTAAATGGACAAAGAATGACCCCAAACTCCAGCAAACCCTAAACCCCAAACCCTAAGCCCTGTCTCTGACGGCGAGCATGTGTTCCCGCGTTTCCGCGGCCGCGACTGCCCGCGCTCCCCAAACCTCAAACCCCAAACCCCAAACCCCAAACCCTAAACCCTGGCTCGGAGCGAGTCCGCCAAGCCTGCCCCCGAAACCCGCGCGCAGAGCGCGCGCCAGGCGCTAAACCGCAAACCCTAAACCCTAAACCCTAAACCCTGGCTGACGGTGAAGTTGGCCTCCTTGAGCTTCTGGGCGAGCCACTCGACCTTGGTTTTGGTGTTGCAGAAAACAACCGCCTGGGTGATGGTGAGAGTGTCGTAAAGGTCCGTGAGGGTTTCGAACTTCCAGTGTTCCCTTTCGACAGCCACGAAGAACTGTTTGATTCCCTCCAGAGTCAACTCGTCTCTCTTGACCAAAACCCTGAAGGGGTTGGACATGAACTTGGTCGTCATCTCGAGGACCTGCGCAAACCACGAAACAGGGTTTAGGGTTTGCGGCCCCGCGCGATGCGCGCACAGCGCGCGCAGGGCCGCGGGCCGCGTGGCAGCGCGCGCCCCCCAGGGCCCAGGGCATAGGGTTTGGGGCTTAGGGTTTGGGGCTTAGGGTTTGGGGCTTAGGGTTTGGGGCTTAGGGTTTGGGGCTTAGGGTTTGGGGCTTAGGGTTTGGGGCCTAGGGTTTGGGCCGGACCTCGTGGGGCATGGTGGCAGATATGAGCACCACCTGCGTGGCCGGCGGCAAGTAGCGGTAAATGTCGTAGACCTGCTGCTTGAAGCCGCGGCTGAGCATCTCGTCGGCCTCGTCCAGAACCAGCATCTTCAAGTGGCGCGTGGAGAAGTGTCTGTCTCCAATCAAGTGGAAGACCCTGCCGGGCGTGCCGGAGACAATGTGCACGCCCGCCTCCAGCGCCCGCACGTCGTCCCCCAGTCTCCTCCCGCCCACGCAGCACAGCACCTGCACCGCCAAGTAGTCCCCCAGCGCCAGACACACCTTCTGCGTCTGTTCCGCGAGTTCGCGGGTGGGCGCGAGCAGCAGGGCCTGCGGGTCGCGCGTCCGGGTGTCTATACACTGCAGCGCGCCGAGGCAGAACACGCAGGTCTTTCCCGTCCCCGACTGCGACTGCACGATCACGTCTCGCCCCTCCAGAATTGGAGACACTGCGCGCTGCTGCACCGCCGAGGGCCGCTCGAAGCCGTACGCGTAGACGCCCCGCAGCAGCTCCTCCTTCAGCGCCATCGCCGCGAACGTGGGCACCACGCGGCACTCCTCCGAAGTTTCGAACACCAGCCCGCTCTCCATTTGCGCGCGGGCCTGCGGAGACGATCCCGGGCGGCGGTCTTGGGGGGCGGCCCGGGAGGCGCTCCCGGGAGACGATCCCAGCAGGGCGGGCGCTCCCGCCCGAGCTCGCGGTCCCGGAGACGATCCCGGCTGCCGGGCGATCCCGCCGCTCCGCGCGCGCGAGGAAACCCTCGACCCCCAGCCCTAAACCCTAAACCCTGAAACGGCGCGCGACGGCGCGCGGGGGCGCAGCAAGCACCAACGGGCAGCCACGCCGGCCGAAAGCGCAAGGCAGACACCCCGGACACAAACCCCAAACCCTAAACCCTCAACCCTCAACCCGCAAACCCCCCGCACCCAACCGGCGGCGCGCGCTCGCCGGAAGCGGACCCAGACCGGCACGAAAACCCTAAACCCCAAACCCCAAACCCTAAACGCTCCCGCACTCTTCGCAACTTTTCGCCGCAGTTGCAGAAACTCTAAAGAACACTTTCAACACAAAAAACCCTGAACCCTCAACCCGCAACCCCAGCCGCCGCTGACAGCCGCGCCCAGCCAGCCACCCAGCATATCTACCGAGGCCACCCCGTGCATGCAGCCCCAAACCCATACCCCGAAAACCCTAAACCCTAAACCCTAAACCCTGACAACTTCCCTGTTTACGCCAAAATGCAAATATTTACAGCGCGGCACCAGACACAAGTACACTCCCAACCGCTAAACCCTAAACCCTAAACCCTCAGCCCGTGCACCGCGGCACCCAGCATGCGCCACGCACAACGCCCAAGCCCCAAGCCCAAACCCTAAACCCTAAACCCTAAACCCTAAACCCTAAAACCAAACCCTAAACCCTAAATTGGGTTTGGCAGGGCCGAAGTCACCGCCCAATCTGCATTTCTCCCCACACTCAGGGAGCTCCTAGAGGCCGCAAACCCTAGTCCCCAAACCCTAAACCCTAACCAAACCCTTAATCCTAAACCCTAAACCTTTAACTCCGCTCTCTCCTTCCTTCCAGAAGAAACAACGGACAACGGGTTACCTTCGCACCTTTAACACCCGTGGACAGCAGCAGCAGCAGCAGCAGCAGCAACAACAACGGCAGCAGCAGCAGCAGCAGCAACAGCAACAGGAGCAGCAGCAGCAATGGAAAAGATTAAACGCAAGCGCCTTAAGGCGCCCACGGAGGATGTCGAAACGAAGCAGCAGAAGGAGCAGCAGCAGCAAGAGCAGCAGCAGTATGAGCAGCAGCAGCAAGAGCAGCAAGAGCAGCAAGAGCAGCAGCAGCAGCAGCAGCAGCAAGGTAGGAAACGAGACAGAGGGTCTAAACTGCAGCGCCGCGAGGAAGCAAAAAGGCTGCGAGCAGCAAACTCTCCCAAACAGCGAATAGAAGAGCTGCAGCAAACCCTAAACCCTGCTACAGCAGCAGCAGAGGAAACGGACGGGGACCTAAACCCTCAGCAGCAGCAGCAGCAGGAGGAGCAGCAGGAGGAGGAGCAGCAGCAGGAGGAGCAGCAGCAGGAGGAGCAGCAGCAGGAGGAGCAGCAGCAGCAGCAGAAGAAACGCCGGCAGCAGCAGGGAGATAACCAGCAGCAGCAATCAATGCAAGCTTTCGCGTCCAGTGAGCTAACAAACCCTAAACCCTAAACCCTAAACCCTAGAGTGCGCATGGCGACAGCGATCGCTACCCTCCTGCGCCGCGGTGCGTTCAGGGCTAGGGTTTAGGGTCTAGCGCCCAGGGTTTAGCGCCCACGAATTCGGGTTTAGGGTTTAGGGTTTAGGGTTTAGGATTTAGGATTTAGGGTTTGGGTTTGTTTTCAGGCATTAGGTCGCTGCTGTCTGCGGAAGGCCCCGCAGAAATTGAAAAGTTGAATGAAATAAAAAGCAAAAAGAAAGAAGCCGAGGAGAAGAAGGAGCTGCTGAGGAAGCAGCTGCTAGCAGTAGGGTTTAGGGTTTAGGGTTTAGGGTTTAGGGTTTGGGAGGGCGAGGGCTCGCAGGGAGGGAGGCAGAGCGGTTCGGTGGCTCCGAGGGTTTCCTCGAGCGTGCGTCCCGCACTTGCGAGGGTTTAGGGTTTAGGGTTTAGGGTTTAGGGTTTGCGGGCAGGAGAAGAGGCGGCGTCGAAACGCTGTTCACAAAACCCCCAAAGAAATGGACAGCGAGAAAGAA